TTTTTAAGAGAGATATGAAAGTTTTTATCATGATCGTGATGGACCGACTGATTTAATTGTGATGGAATTATGAAGTTTCCTAATCAAGAGAGAGTTGTTTATGATGGTTCTTAATTAAAGGAGAATTATTTATGAATGTTTTAATTACAATTGAGAGGGAATTATTTAGGGCAAGAGATCTAATTTGAATTCAAAATCTAAGAGAAAATTATTTAGGAAAAGGGAGGAATCAAAGGGAAATTGTTTAGAAAAGTTCTAATTACAATTGTGAGGGAATTATTTAGGGCAAATGATCTAATTTGAATTTAAATAGGAGATAGAATTATTTAGGAAAAGGGGGCTGATTTGAGAGGAAATTAGGGGAGCTTATTTAAGGCTAATAATTGGGTGATTTCGTGTCACATTCTGGCATTGTAAGCTCGCATAGACGAGGCGGGAACTAATGTCAGATGAAAATTAAAACATAATCTAAATATTATCATGTAAATATTAACATATCTAACATCCAAACATTTATAAAGAGCCACTAAAACTTCCACAACACAAAATATTTTATTTCATCATAAAAAAATTACACAAGTGAATCCTAAACTAGACATGTGAGATCCACTTCAAAATGTTACATAAAAAATACAACAAAAAAACCTCTCTTGTGGTCATCCTACGCTGGTTAGTATATTGCTTTCTATCAGTCATCCTTTCATTGTGGTTCTCTTGAAAATATCCCAAAGCTAGGGAGTGAGCTAATGCTCAGCAGGTTACAAGTAATTCTACCAATTTCAATTTCAATTACAATGAAACGTAGAACAATATGCATTCTTTATATATAAGACTGAGTAGCAAATATCTAAAGATGTAAACAATATAAAGTCATACAAGGATAATTGTGCACTTATATCTTTAGGACTTTCTATTATCATATTACAATTCATATGTTTAATACCTCTTCATTTCATACCCTTCACTTGTCTTTGATTTTTTGTATGCATATACATTTATCTTATTTGTATTTTATACACTCATGCTGGAGTACCGAAATTGCACTGATTAGGTACATATATTTTTGGCCATATCATTTTCCTTCATCATTTTTGTCCCAAAGAGTCATATTGCTCATAAGAGTCATATTGTGCCAATGCACCATTTGGTACTCCGTCTCAACAGGCACACATTCACATACAATATTTATTTTAGGATAGGTGATTAACATAGCTAACAATCATTCATATGTTTCTAACCGTTTCATTCTTATGCAAGGCAACATGAAGGATCATTTGAAATAATGTGTAAATTTCTAAGTATCCTAAACAAGTCAATAATAAAAGAATTTAGTAATCTAAACATGCATGATTTATGATATGCAAGGCTACAGATCATAATCATTAAGTAATCTAAGCAAGTTAGTACTAATTTCATCATAACTTCATTTAGAATAAATCACCCCTTATAACTCCCAATCAGTGTGCTCCTTATAACTCCCCTTGAATAACTTGAATCAATCACCCTGACTCATTATAACCTATGCTGCACCGACACGAACACGGTGACACGAACACAACACGACACGGACACGGGACACTACATTTTTTAAAAATATAGGACACGGTTGCGGCGTGGACATGGCATAATAATTTTTTATATAATATATAGAAATTAAGGTGACATTATATTAAAAATAACAAGCAATAATAAATCAATTTCATGATAACTTGTTTAGCTTATAACATAAAGATATTTAATACAAAATGTCTATTGTTCAACATAGAAATTATAATTTCATTTATATATTGATTATTCATTATTTTTATCTAGATAAGATTGTAACAAACCAATCATACATAAGAATACATCAAGTTAAATTGATATGAAGTGAAATCAAAATATCTCAATAATAAGACAATATGAATACAACAATATACTGGTCTGCCGGGGGTCCAAGGGGGCGCTGCCCCCTGGCGGAGTAAGAGTAATTTTGAAGTTTTGCTTGTTTTTAAAGTTCGTAAATTATTTGTATGGAAAGATACCGAGTGGTGTCAAGCATGTACCGAGCGATACCAAGCTGTACCGAGCATGTACCTAGCGATACCTAGCGGTACCGAGCATGTACCTAGCAGTATCAAGCATGTACCTAGCGGTACCGAGCATGTACTGAGCGGTACCGAGCAGGAGCAGTACCAAGCATGTACCTGCTTGGTACTGAGCATGTACCTAGCGATACCTAGCAGTACCGAGCATGTAAATTTGCTTTTTATTATTTAATAACAGGACACGCGTGTCCGATTTTAATTTTAATTTTTTAAATTGCGACACTCCAATATCGTGTCGAACACGTGTCCATGCAGTGTCGGACTCGTGTCCGTGTCCGACACTGTATACCCTCTTTAAGCGGAGTGTCGGTGCATCATAGCTTATAATTTTTTATCAGTTTTCAGCTCCTTATGACTCCCATCAGTGAATCACATGAATTAGTAAAGTATCACGTGGAATTATCATATCATATATCTGATATTAATCAGTACATCATTTCACCAATATCAATAGTACATATCAGTACATATCACTCATATCAATACATTCTATTTTCAGTATTTTTTTCTACTCATTAACATAAAAATTCATATACACACATTTAATCGGTGAAAATGCAATAAAATCATATCAAATCATTTAGAATGATCAAATTTATAGCATATCAAATGTTAAATAGTAAAAGCTTACGAGATGAGGAGATAGTATATTTTTTTGCAAATTTAAGAGTTGAAATTCGTATAAATTAAAGCCATTGAAAGCATGAATAAGAGATCAATCTCTTATAATGAATAAAACAAAATCCGTAACAGGAACGATAAGCACATACGACCTAAAGTCCTTTCTCTTCTTCTCCTCCAATTTCATCCTGGCCAAGCAACCGAGTGAGGGAGGCGATGGGGTGAGGCAGAGATATATATATATATATATATAAACAATGTTAGTGGTCTAACACCATAGTGCTCTACTTTGAAATTTTCATGTTTTTTCAAGTAAATTCATTTCACACTTTTGGGTTATTACACTACACCTAATAAATAGGTTTCTTTTAATTTTAATTTACCTATAGATCTATTGAATGAATGCCTTTCGGGTTGCTCACACCTAATCTTAAGATACTAAAGGGTGACTAAGTTATGATGGGGCCTAATAGGCTTAAATCCAATAATATTCAGTCTAGGTCCTAAGAAATAGGAACTCGGAAACCCACACCTACTTTTAAAGGACTGAAAGAGTACTAGGATGCCTCTTTGGTTGCTCACACCTAGCCTCTAAAATCTAAAAGGATGTTGTTAAGGGACTTACACCTAATAGATAAATTTCTTTTAAATTTTGATTTACTTCTAGATCTAAGGAAATGATACATCTCAGGTTGCTCCCACCTAACCTTAAAATATTAAAGGATGACTAAGCTATGATGTGATCTAATAGGCTTAAATCCAACATTAGTCCGTCTAGGTCCTAGGAAATAGAAAATTTTGGGACTCATGCCCACCCTAGTATCTAAAGTCTAACGGATGTCGGTAGGGAACTCTAATAGATACATTTCAAATGACCATAACAACTTACAAATATCCATTGTGGAATATAATTTTTTGTACTTGTCATTTTCTAAGAGAAGGGGAAGGATTTTTTAATGGATTTTGAATGATGATTTGGGATTCTTGAAATTTAGCTCTCCCTTTCCATCACAAACAACCCATTAGCTCTTGTATATGTTGTTTTCTTGGAGAGGGGAGGAAAGTTTGGAAGGATTTGAGTTTTTGAGTTTTGAAGAGTTAAATTTTGATTTTTGCCTTTTCCATTACAAATGGTATTAACAACATCCAATAAGTTCACTGTGGATTATTAGTCCTTGTACATATTTTCGAGAAAAAGAGGGGAGAAAATTGAGGAAATATGAAAAAAAAAATTATTTTCATTTCTTTTGGTTTCGGAGGATTAAAATTTTGTTTGGAGATTGAATTTTTCTCATTTCCTTACAAACAAAGATGACCTCCAACAACTTGCAGAATATTCCCTTGGAGGTTAATTATTCTTGTATAGGTCATCATTTTTTAGGAAAGGAGAAAGATGGGGAGTAATTTGACCATCCTTGACAAAAGTTAAGGCTTCTCAACTACTCGAGGGAAATTTAAAGCTTTGACTAGAGTTCAATTATTTAGAATTAAACTTTCATTTTTTTGGACCCAATGTATCATAAAAGATTCAAGGATTCAAAGCATTGTGCGATAAAGTCAAGATTTTATTGCAACTTTATTTTGATTACATCACGGATAGTACTTTTTAAGATAACGTCCAATGAGTAGTCTAAATTATCAATTTTTGTGCATCATTTTAATTATATGAGATGTCAGCCCTCATTTGAAATGAAATTGCCCCCTATGTCAACCTACATTTGAATTGAAACTGCCCGTTTTTAGGGAGATTTATGCGCATGCCGCCTAAATCTGACTTATTTTTTATGAATGAATTATTTTAGTCTAATTTAATATTTTGATTAATTTGTGAATTTTCAAATGTGTTCCCTTAATCACGTATTCTATTTACCTTTTACTGGCATAATCGCATTTGTGATTATTGTGAATTATTTTCATAATACATACGTCTAGTTAATCAGTAGTCTTCAAATAGACCTGACTCGCTCAGTTGGCATTTCGCTAAACTTGCAATAGATGTGGCGAGGTTTTTGAGTCCTATATGGAAGGATCTTCATATGCCTTTTGTTTTCATATAATTATTTACTTGATGTTTTAACTAAATTTGCTTATTCCCCTTTTGAAGCCATGTTCTAATTTGACATGCCACTTGTCAATTATATGTTTGATATATTGGTTCTTAAGCAGTAATCATCAGCTTCTATTTCTCATTATTATACTATTGCATTTTACAGTATTGTAAACTTCTACATTGGGTTGCCAATAGTATGTTATTTGTTTTTTTGTTTTTATCAACTTATTCTTTGCGGACAGATGTATGCCTCGCACTATTTCACCCAGATTTCAGAGCTATTAAGAAGATTACCACGTGTAATTCTATTAATGCTAAAAACAAATGACTGTTTGAGAGCTGTCAATCATGTTCTGGTATGTCGCAAATTCTTGCATATGCTATGCTTGTATATACATATATGATTTTGCATTTTAATTTTTAAGTGCGAATGTTTGTATTTTCACGTCCTTCCCCAATCATTATCAATATGTTGTTTGTATTCAAATTATTAGCCGTCGTAACAGAGGAATGCACATATTATTGTACTAGTTTTTAGTAATCTGTCAACTGTTTAGGTCATCATTTTTGCCATGGTTTTGATAATTCTGATTTAAAGTAGCTAGCGATGGAAGCCATCATACTCACAACTGCTGCTGAATCCCACCTTTTGAGTAATTATGATAATAAGTTATACATACTGCGTTTGGATATTTATTAATGATGGGATTTTCATGTTATCTTAATTTCATTTCTGTTATTTGTTATGCGTATCTACTCACAAATCTTAGACCTGCTAATTATATTGGCTTTAGTTATGGTGAATGTCTCCGACATTCTTAGTTCTATAGAACAATCTCTGGTATATTAACTGGTATATACAGGTGTAGGGTATAAACGAAAAAAGAATTTACAGGTGTAGGCTATTGAATTTCTCCTAGTTTTATGCATAAGTTACATAAACAATACATATTTGTTTGTACTTTTATAGTTTGCCTGGATGAAGTTTCTTCTACATGCACCTGTAAAACCATAAAGATAAATAGACTAACACCATTCCTCATGGATAAGAAATTTCTATGGTTTTGATTGCATTAAATCCATTTGGAAGATCATCATAGTATATACTGATTGATCTATAATATGTATGTCTTTAATATCAGCATTACATGGTTGTATGAATGGAGATGATATACTATTTCGAGAATAATCTGTGTCGTTATCCTCGTCCTCATGGGAAGTGAGCAAGAAACTGCTATAACACTAATTAAGGATAGCATCTGCCTTCGATGTGAATAAAGTTACTGCTATTGTGTTTAGGGATGAATACATGCCGTGTAAAGTTTGATTTCATGTGAATACTGTATGAAACTCAGATAATGATTATACTAACGATGTGAATTGTTCAGTTACTTGAAAGATGATATGAAGTTTTGTCCCTTTTATGAATGCTCTAATTTCTTCTCCTCCCTACAAAATGTCAAAAAATGAACCGGACAACTGCTTACAAAACTCGAGTTGAAACTTCTTTTGTTTTAATTTTATTTTTATGGACAACCTATATAATCTTGTTTAGAGCAACCTTAAAAAGCACTGATCTTGAATGATCTAATCAGGTTGATTTGATTGTCTCAATCCTTAGTCTAAATCAGAATTTGCAACGTCAAACATATTATACACTGAATGCTATCTGTTTAATTTGGTTTTATTTTTTGTTTTGATTCATTTATTTATTTTCTATCTATTCTAGAATTTGATGTTGAAGGTGCTGTGATAAACTTTATAACTGCATCTTATTAAATTGCATCCTTGTGACGTTTACTCTTAACTAAGAAGTTCAGTGTATGACCATAATTAAGCGTCGAATTATTGTGGATTTTGCAAGTAATTTATCATAGTTTGGCATGATAAGTTTGAGCAATTCTTGGTGGTCTTTTGGATTCGTATGACCTTTGCACGAATTTTTTCTACAGCTGCAGGGATCATCTCTAGAGACTTATCTTATCATCGGAAGAGTCTCTTCAAAAGCAGTGTCAGAGGCAAAGATCATATCATCGAACTGCTTCATATTGTCAGGCTTGAGCTTATGGCTTGAGCAGATGCTGCTGGAAGCTCGGTTATTCAGCATGAGGATTGCATTGTGGCTTTTGCATATCCAAAAGACACTGTATTACAGAACAAAAAAAAAAGAGATATAGTCTGAATAAATACAAACAAAGAAAAACATGATTCGCCTTCGTCTTTCCTTTCTGGAACACATTTATTAGTATTAGTTTTTTAGGAATTATTCAATAAATGTGCTCTGTTTACTTCAATATAGCTAGCGTGCAGTATTGACTAGGAAATAATAACAATTATTTCTTATATATGTTTTCGGTTCCAGACTTTTGGCATTATTGTATCCGACCAAAAGTTTTCTATTGATTGCGTAAAGGATATTCTAATATAAATTGTGTAAAGTTGGATTTTATATTCATTAAATTTACATTGAAATTAGTACTACTCTTTGATTTTGGCAGTTAGCAGTAATATCCGCACAACTCCAACGGGCATGAAGTTCATCTAACATTACTTTGATATATATATATAGCAATTTTTTTCATTGTATTCAATCGTCAATCACTTTACAAATGTTGTCAATTGTTTATTATTCTCTTGCACACCAGCCCCTCCAAAAAATGATTGCATCATTCTTGTTTTAAGATATTTGTTTTGTCGTAATGCAAGGTGGTAGGCAAGGCTACGACGTTAGGGGTTAGAGCTAAGTCATTTGATTTTTAGAATTAATGGATTTATTTTAAAATAAACGTAATATATATACTAAATTTATTTTAAAATGTATTGATTAGTTATAAAATTTAACTTGATCAAATTTTGATTCATAGAATACTGACCGTAAACTTTTTCCTTATATTTTCATAATCCATGTGTAATTATAACACGTCGGTCAGTTGAGCGATCTGTTGCTCAGGTTTGAGTTGGGCGCTACTCCACTCTTACAGAACATCATTATCAACTCATTTAAGATTTTATTTAGGATAATTTTTTTAATATTTTTTTAATAGCTATATAATTTTTTATATTAAACAGTTATTTTAAAATCCAGCAAAAAAGTTATCCCAAAGTAGCTTAAATTTATCTTTGGTAAATTCTCAACTATTTTTTCATTCAGCCGAATGACTTTGAAATTCATTGGGCTGTTATAATCGTGGTTAAAAAAATCCGAATTCAAGCGGCTTAATATATATTAACCTTATTAATTCCCAAAATAAAATATGATTTAAATTTAAATCTCTAAAAAATGCATCAAGCATAGATAACCGATTCAATCAAACAACTACAATTGAATAAATCCTTTTGAAATCCACCAACAACAACAGCAATTTTGTGGAGAAAAATTAGCCATCCAGCCCATTTTGCATTCCCGCTTGACGACCAATACTCTTGTGGCCTAAGTTTCAATTCGGCAGCAACTACCGAATAATGATCGAAAAAAATAATATTCATTCTGAGGACTTACCGGTATAAGCGAATGAGCAAGGAAGTAACATACAGTTCATAACTGTTTTTTTTTTTCGATAAAATGATAACATTAAATTGGAGTTTCCTGTTAAAATGATAAAAGAATTGAAAATACTTTTATAATTAAATATTTTAAATATATTTTATTTTATAAATAAGGCGGCCGAGTCTTAGACTTCGTTTGGGATGACTTTTTAACTGTTTATCAAAGTAACTTTTGAATAAAAAATAAATTTTTTATTCAAAATTTACTTTAAGTCCTAAAAAAAATCCGTCCCTCACAAAACCTTAATCTAATTTGATTTGTTGATTCACATAACAGAGCCTTAGTATATCAAGGCGAGAAATCATCTTGATACGTATTGCCTGTAAGTACATTTTCGTTGCTGCATATGTGCTATCTTCAGGTCCTTCACCAACAACCAAACCATTTTATTTTTAGGCATAAGGGTTTGTTTAGAAGGTAAAGAAACTTTGAGTCTTCGATAAAAAGGGGAAAAAAAAAAGTTAAGGAACATGATCGGCGCTCAACAATTCAGAACCCATTTTTTTGTTCCTAACCTGCCAAATTCAATCACGAGACCTGCGGCAATTCGTGTTGCTTCTCCGCCGTCGATTTTAGGTACACGAATCACTGCGGTTTCGGCAGCAGGAGCCCCGATTGCAATCCCTTGTGGAGAAGGAGGAGATGGCGGCTGCAAAACGTTGTTGCTTCCATTGGGACTTTGTAGGGAGGCATTGCCGAAGCACGTGGCCGTGATAATGGATGGGAATGGACGGTGGGCTGCTTCAAAGGGAATGCCTGCTGCCGCCGGACATGAAGCAGGTTGCAGAGCCTTGCAGGGGATGGTCAAGCTCTCCTGTAAATGGGGAATCCGAGTCCTCACCGTCTTCGCCTTCTCTTCGGAGAACTGGCACCGCCCCAAGGTCCACTTTTTGGACTTTCTATTTTGGATTTTATTTTGTATGTATTTATGCTCTGTGTTTTCTCTATGTCCACTGAGTCAGCTGTGGATGTTTTCTATTGTTTTCACAGCCTGAGGTTGATTTTTTGATGATGCTCTTTGAAAATGTCTTCAAGAGCTTATCGGGAGATTTTCTGAGGTATCGACCTCTCCATTCTTTATTTCATGTACTGCTAGAAAACTATACTGATCGGCGTGCTAAAATCGTTTAAATACTAGTTTGTCAAGTCTGCATTATGATTATGCTATACAATTCCCTTACCCACCTCCATATAGAGGAATGGTCCGCTTTCCTTTGTATGTGTGTATGGATGAGGTGAACTGAAGGTGAAGCAGGTTTGGGGCTTTGGAAACCTAGCTTTCGAAATCATACATAATATGATGCAGCTGATTTCTTTGTACACCCTATTATAATATTGATACCCGATTAACTGCATTAGCCATCACTGGCTCAAATCTCTGCGTGTCTTGGATGAACCAATATCTAGTAGGATTTACTGCGCTGGAGAAACCAAAACATCTGTTTTCAGAAGTGGAACTATGGACCATTTACGTATGATTCTTTTGCTTCAAAATAAATGGTTATTGTCTTATTGCTCATAACTATACCAACATTCCATTAAAGCGAGGCTTTCACTGTAATTTTTTTATCTTTGCAGATCATGACATTATTGATTTATCTCTAAAGTCTATGATCTTTCTCATAGCATTATCTTTTTTTACATAGAAATGGTGAAATTATGACATAAAAGCTAGATCCTATTGTGCAGCTTTCAAGTGATTATTGGTGACGGCTACAACGGTCTTAGCTGCGGCGAAAACCGCGGGCTAGAGGTAGAGGCAAACGAAAGGAAGTTGTTGCGCTTGAATGTGCCAAAAGACATGATGTATGTTAGTTTTAACAAAAAAAATGCAAATAGGATGAGGTATAAGCCTTACGCTAGCGAGGCTAGGCGTGCCTCAAGCCGGGCCTCAACCAAGCTGAGGCAGAAGCCTAATAAAAAAGCTAGAAGCATAAGCCTCGAGGCGTTTTTCACTAAAATTGCGTTGAGGTGGGCCTCAAGGCGAGCCTCATATTGCGCAATTTAAACAATGGATCTTATATATGACTGCTTTAATTATATAATTACTAATAATACTTTTTAATAAAAATCGATCATGTTATTTCTTTAAGCAAATATTAAACACAAAATGACAACATGCATCCTTGTGGTTTTGTTTCGAGTCAATTTTATGAATCTTTCATGATGATTCATCCTGTTAAAACTGAAAGTGCCATGTCTGATTAGAATTCATTTCTAAGCTCTCACTTGTTTGACAGCTAGCTAGCAAACCTAAAGTCGACACCGTGCTCTTTTTTTCTAGCTCCGTACAGATGAAGGTGGTTCTAAGACAATGTTAACCTTTGAAGCAACTTTATGAAATATGAAACTTGGTAGTTCATTGTCAGACCTTTTGAATGGTTTTTTTAATCCCTACTCCATTATTTCTTAGGTTATGATTCCTGAAGAGTATTAGATCATTAGACTCTTTTGTTGTGTCTTATCCACTAGAGGGTTCCTCTATTGTAAATAGAAAGAGTGGGTATAATGTTCTAAGCACAATATTTCAAATGAAATGATAATCAACCTCAATATGTTTTTTTTTTTTTTCAGTGAACATAGGTTTGTAAAAACTATTGATGACAATATTATTGTCATAATATATAATCATAGATTGGATGCAAGATTTATATCGGATTTTGGCAAGATTTGCACTAACTCCTACCAAACACCCAAAAATGTAAAGTCAAATCTCACGGTACGTCTATGCTCCACGTCATGGTGTTTTCGACTTGTTGGCCCTAATCCCGGATTCTTTAAATATGATTTTTTGGCGGATTTAGGGATTTAGCTAAGCGCGCAAATGGGAGAAATATCATTACCTTTGCGGCGAGCTCTCGTCGTAAGTTCTGATCCAATAGGAGTATCATCGTTATCGAAGGCCTAGAAGTTCTAAAAACTTTACTTCACGCGAAGCAAAACAACAATGAAGAAATGCAAAAGAGAAAAAGCAAACCCTAGGCAGACAATGGCAAACGAATCATTCAAAGCTTTACCTTATGCAAACCAGCAAAGTTGAACAACAATGAAGAGATAGAGAAGAGGGAAAACCAACCTGATATTAGGAAGAATTAGTTTAGTTCCTAATTTCTCAATTAGGAATTAATATAATTAACTTAATTAGTATAATTTGAAATATAAATAATTAATTAGGTAATTAGTAATGTAAATATTAACTAAATAAGTAGTTATTAAAAGAATACTTAATTGACTAATTATAAACTTATAAGTATAATTAGTGATTAGAAACTTATCAAAATCCTTTTAAAAAATTAATGAAATAATTAGTAGTGTAAATAATAATTAAATGATTAGTTATTTCAAATAATAATTAAATAATTAATTAGATCATTGTCATTGTAATTAATATTGAATTACATATTAAAATAACACTTAAATAAGTTAGTAATAAAACCTTATTAAAATAACACTCTAATTATAGTATTCATAATTATAACTTATTGACGTTAATTAATTTTGAATTAATAACTAACTCATTTTTTAAATACAAATGTCATATGAGTTAATCATTTTAAATCCTAGATAGTATTGTCAAACAGTCTTATTGGATTTATCATGATTTAAAAAAGTTTGTACCAAATAGTTTTTAGGATTTAATATTTTTAAGATTTAGTAAATCCAAATTTAGATGATTTATGAAATTATGCTTAAATTCAATCATAACTGCACCCAAACAAGCCCTAAGAATGCAAGGAAACAATATTTAAACTAGGAAAAGATCTGACCATAGAGGAGTTAATAAGTCCGGAGATGAAGTGGGCATAACTTGAAGACAACCTTTATGAATAGTACTTTGCAAATCTCGCCCCTTAGAAATCCTTCTCCCGGTGTTATGTCAATCACACGTAAGAGATTCTTTATTTGGGTGGAAGAGAATAGAATGCAAGAAAAACTCCTCTAATATGAAAAGGGGAGCCAAAAAACACACGGAGAGGGGACAGCCAAGCATGGGGAAGGGAATGGATTGAATGCTTTATAGAGTTTGAGCTTGACTACACCTTAGAATCAAATAAAGTATAAGGGTTTCTAAGGTGTTTCCTAAAAGAATTGATTGCAAAGCATACAAGGAGGAGAGAGGGAGTTAGTAATGTGTAGTAGAAAATGGTTAGATGGCAGTCAATGTCAATATGAGGTGGCAATCACAATCAATGTGCAATCAAACTAGTGAAATGTATATCATAATCAATTCAAATACAATAAAGTGCATGTCTCATGCTTTACCAACACAAATACATGATTCATACTATGGGCTCCAAAAATTTTGCCCCGACCTCCCTGTTGCTTTTTCGGGGGAGTTTTAACGAAATTAAGTTCCTGGGTAAATTTTGGGAAGGCACATTTGTTTATAGATAAGGCTCTACCCAAAGATTTCGTCCTCATTTTGTGAGGACTTTATATATGAAATATGGTTTCTTATAGGCGCAAACCCCTATAGTTAATTACCCCTCCCGGTAACGAGAGAGAACTTTCGATAAAGGCTAGTCGTCAATCAAATACGTAGAGATACATGTTATCTGGCATATAGTAGCAGCATGGGCATTAGGAATTTAAAGGGTTAATATTTAAAATTATAGATATCACCATCTTGTACTTAAAGCGGATGGTGGGGGAATGAATGGTGGACCCGATCAAGATCCCATGGTTTCGTCATCCCGAGCCATCGTAGTTCCTAGTCTACTTAGTCAGAGGAGGTAGTCTACCCAAATTGACAGAAGAATTCTTGTCGGCAGCCATGGGTTGTTTCGTCCAATGGTACCTTATAGATCTGGGGAGTATTTGTCTAAGGAGAGAAATTTGAATCCACCTTAGTTAACAAAGGGCTTTGTACCCTATCAATTATATCCTATTGATTCATATCACAAGGATTTGATGCCACTAAGGAATGTATTGCTCTGATCATAACCGTAATTTAGTAATGCTATTTGACGGAAAAATCACTTCGTTCAGAGGGCCGCGAGTCATAATCGTTTATCTTGCGGTGCAATTTGGCGGCAAAACCGTTGGTCAGAGGATACGTACCACGTCCTTACTCGTAGAAGATTATTTGAGAATGGATCTGATGTAAAACATAATTGCATGGATGAATTGCTTTAAGGAATTTGCATGCTTAATCTTAGAGACCACAATAATTATATCTTTGTATTGATTTTAAACGACAAAAGAAAACACAATGGGCGGTAAGACAAGTTTAGGCTAAATCATATGCATAGGAATTAAGACCGTAAAACATTCAATTAATTTAACATTGCATACATGGAAGGTGTCAACAAGAAATCCCTAGACTAACAATGAGATTAGTACTATGAAGGAGGTCCACTCACTCACTAACTCAACTCTCTAACTAACTTGGTTTTAACAGAGCGGGTTGACACAACCTTTAGGAATCAATTAAACCACAAGTCAAGATAAGACTTGGAAGAAAAGATTTGGAGAACAGGTTTACCTTTGTTAGAGTGGGGGTTGGTTACTTGAATGGTGTCGGAGCTTCTGGCCAATAGTTGGAGACTCCCTGGACAATTGGACAGTAACTAGAGTGGGCTGAAATTACTGGACAGCAGTTTCCAGGTTTCTGGAGCCTTTTAGTAGCAATGGAACTTCCTTTGGCCGTCGGACAGCACTCTATCTCCTCAGGGCAGCAATCAGGACAGGCTCAGGTTGGCTGGACAGCGAGGGAGTTTGCTGGGGAGGTCAGGGCAGGAAGCAGTTTGGCTCCGGACAACTTCTGGACGTGTAAACTGGGCTATCCTTGAGATTTGGACAGCAAGTGTAGCTTATATAGATAGCGGAACAGCAGAAGAATTTGCTGAAATTCTCAAACAACAGCAAGGAAAGTTGGGAGAGAAGGAATCCCGTATGACTGGAAGGTTTGGAATCAGTTTTGGGAAGGTGGGGAAGGGAGATGACTAGGCTGGCGGCATCCAGGAGAGGGAATAGTTTTAGAGAAGGATTTAATTGCTTGCCTAATCAGTGATTTTCATTAAGGAATGAGAAGATTCATCAATCCCATTTGAATCTG